ACTACTAATAACTGAATTTCCTGATTACTATATTGTGACTTGTTGTGTGAAGGGTTAATGTACCCATCTGTATGTGTTGTTTCTTGGATGGGTCTTACAAACTTGTTTGAAGCCGCCGGGATGAATGCATCCATCTTGATTCTTCCAAAAGATGCATTTGGTAATAACATGTCGTTTTCCGGGAAAGAGATGGACTTGTTTCAAGGGTTTTCTTTGTCTCTTCTCTACGAAAACGGCTCATTCGCTAGCCTTCTTAATATCACACACATGAGATGGATTGAGTCTGGCTATATTTCCATTGACTTTCTTCTTGTTGCCGCTGGAAAATTCTTGTTGCTTGTGGAGAAGGAGAGCCAAAGCCTTAATGGTGTTCCCTTACCTCTCGAGGTGAATTCAGGTGTGTCTTCGTTTCCATCAGTTTCAACAACGGTCTATCATGTGGATTTTTAAGCTGAGAAATGTTTGTGTGCAGGGCCTTTGGATGTTTCCAATTGCGTGAGCATGTGGAAGTCAGAGCTAAGCTCATGGCAGATATTTTCCAAAATGGAAATCATGCTGCACCAGAAGGACCGATTCGGAAACCTTGTTTCTGGATTTTACGAATTTGATGCGGATGTGGTGGAGAAAGAGACGGGTTTGTCCATACCGGTAGCGGATTTTCAGTTTAAGTATGTAGAGACAGGGATCCAGCTGATGTCTTTCAGCCTGTCTGAACCAGGAAATTTCTTACTTACTCTTTCTGATATGAAGCACAACAAGAGCATCTCTGGTATGCCATATGCGTATACGGTGTATATAGGTCAGTGTTTGCCACAACTGCTCCATGGTATGGTGCTACTTTTTCTTCTTTGCTACTCATTTCGTTTCTTGACAGGTTATTGTGATGGATCAAGAAGTATAGTGAATGGTTCAGGGATCAATGCTTCTATTGCTGGGGAGTCTCTTGGTTTCTCTATTTACTTGAAAGATGCTTATGGTTATCACTCATCAATCCAAGTGAATAGACTTCAAGTCCGAATCACTCAAGAGACTGATTCGTTATATATTTTGCCAACAATAAAGCCGAGAGAGACCCTCAATGGTACAAAAGTATTTTCCTTGATTTGCTGGCATTCATTAGTGGTTGATGTCTTCTCTTTTGGCTTATATTACAACAGGGACTGGATTAAGTTACTCAACTGCTATCCCCTTGTATGAGAAAGATGGCGGAAGTGTAAGAAATTTAGCTGCATATGTGCTTATGCATATACCCCGATAAGATCTGGTGACTTAATGGGGTTTTCCTTCTTGTAGGCTTCAGGCCCTCAAGCGAGTATTTTTGACGTAACTTATACACCAAAAAGGAGCGGGATTTATAAAATATTTATATCATCTGCAAACATAGTCCTCAATGGAGGCCAACCATTCATCAAGGAAGTAAATGCAGGTCTCATGCTCCATGTTGTAATTTAGACAAACTAGATATTTCCATGGTAGATAGTGTTTATCATTTGTGATCAACACCCTCTTGCTTTTCCCAGGTGAAGTAAATGTGGCGGCGTGTAGTGTGACCCAATTCAATGCAAAAGTGCCAAAGCAAATAAAGAATGAAATTGTGGTGTTGCTCTTGGACGGCTACTACAATCCTGTGCCTTCACAGCCATCTCGGTTAAAGTTGGAGATCACCTCAGCTAACACATCAAGTTTCACTACATGGGAATTTGTAGATAATAATGACGGGACATATACGGGTAGCTATCTGGCAATGGAGGTTGGTACTTACCGAATGTGCGTATCCTTTGACAAAGAACATATCCAACCTTGCCCCTTTGACGTCAATGTGTACAGCAGTAAGTCGACTACTTCTTTTCTCTCAAACATGATTTTCTTTTTCTTCCCTTTTTATTGTTTTTCGTAATCCGTTGTTTCTATGATTCTACCATGATTATTTAGATGGATACTTTCCAAGAGCCTATGATGATGCAGTTAATGTATGGGAAGATGAGTCAATGTCTTTCAATCCACTGGAAAACGACTACTTTGCTGGCGACAATGCGAGCATTCTCGGTTTCTCACAAGTGAGGAATGGAAGTGTCCTTTTGCTTCTATGTTTTGTAGATTCGAATTTCTTTTAAACTTAATCTGTTGTTTTCTATTGATTTCCTGATGTTAGCCAGGTCATGGTTCTCTTCTCAGGGATGGAAACTTCCTTCGATACACGCCAATTAAAGATTTTTCGGGAAATGACTCGTTTCTTTATACAATGGTTGATATCAATGAAAACTTAGCCACAGCCACTGTATACATTTTTATCCTTACTGCTCCTCCTCTGTTTATCTCTTTTTCCGGCGGATTGCAAGCAACTGAAGATCTAATCAGTCCTAGATTTGGGCAAGTATCCTTCATTTTTGTTTTGCCTAGGGAGCTGCATCTTAGTTTCTTACACTTATGCTAATGTAATTTTGTTCTTGAATGTTATTTCAGTGGCTTCTCTGGGCTGGAGATAAGCTACTCAGATATATCGGAGAACATTTCAGTAACAGTAGAAGCACTTTCAGGATCAGTCATTCTGTCTCCGATGTTGATGCAGTTTAGACTCCCAGCAAGCGGAAGACTCTCGGTTAGCAACGGAGGTGAAGATGGAAGGCTCTTAATCTTACAAGGACAGATAGGAGTTATCAATCCCGCACTTCAGTCGATTCAATATCTCGGGTATAAATGGAATTATTACAGATATTCTTTGTTGCATCACAAGATAGTTACAAAATTTCACTCTCATTTCTTTTTCTTTGGCCCTCCCTCCCTCAGAAACGAGAATTTTGCCGGTGTTGATTCTCTTCGGCTGTCCACAAGGAACAAGAATGGGATAAATCATCTGGATGTTCCAATTTTTGTTGAACCCGTCAATGATCCACCGTTTATTAATGTTCCTCAATATATAATGCTGGAGAGTAATGGGGATAAATCACTCATCTTCCGTAGGGAAACAGACAAGTTCAACTTCTCAGTTGGAGATCCAGATCTTACTAATTTTCCGGGTAATGTTAAACAGCTAACATTACTTTTTTGATCACTTAAAAGCTCCCAATACTTTTTTGTCTGATGAAAGCAATATATCAGGAGGTGAATCTCATTTCTTAGTAACGTTTTCTGTGGAAGTCACTGATGGGTTTCTGCTGACAAACTTACCGGCGGAGCTGATAAACTCAACTGAGCTAAAGCTTAAAAACATATTCCAATGGCAGCCAATTCAGACTTATGCAGCCATTTCTAAACACGTGAATGTTAAAGCCAGTGGGATCAGGTTTCGTGGAACAATAAAGCAATGCAACGACCTCTTGCAACAGCTGCTCCATCGCGTAAAATATCCATAATTCATCTTTCAATTGGATGTTTTTTTGGCTCCTAGTATGTACATTATCATCACAAATCTTGTGTAGGGAGGAGAGACGGGGGCGGTCTTGACCCTCAAACTGAGTGACATGGGGAACTACGGGTGCTTCCTAGACTGCAACGAAAGAATTTCACTGCCTCTACATGCGGAGGCTCGCGTAAACCTTATCAGAAAGAGACCCTTAAGTTCCCTTGCAGCTCACGGTACGTGTATGAAACAAAGAGACGAGATGGTTTTTTGGTTTGGTTTTGTGGTTTCTTTGAGCTAAAACCATTTCTGTGACTTTGTCGCAGTTCTTGGATCAGTGATTGTGGTGGAATCCCTTGTGGTATTCTCTCTCGCTACTTTGCTTCTGTTCTTCACTTGCAAATGCGCATTTCTTCTTGTACATGAGAGAAGAGAACAATATGTTGACAAGAATTTGCAGAAACCAAGGGTAACTAAACACTCACTTCTCTTGTGGGTTTCTTACAGCCATAAACACTGAAAAGGTAATTCTCTCTTCTGGAACAGGAAAATGCAGAAATGTTGCTAAAGGGCGGTTTTTCAACTAGAACAATAACAGGCTGTCTTCCGGAGAGTATATGGAATCGCCATCTGCGCCCGAGGTATATCTTAGAGTTTGTGGGATATAGTTTGATGGATAGATAATATATCCCTTCCTATAATTGTATGTGCTTATGTTTATTCGTTTGGTGGTCTAGACACATGGGTGAAACATCCGACAAGCAGATTGATAAGCAGTCGCCGGAGATTAACATTTTTCCGTTCGAGCTAGAGAAGGCTACTACTACAACTTCATGAATCTGACACAACATATTTGCCGTGCCTCGACTAGTAGTGTTTGATTTGATACAGTTTAGCTTTTGGTTAGGATTATGTTGTAATTACCAAATAAACTCGATTTAAGCTAAGTTCAGTACTCTTTTTCAATTATGGCCTCTAAATTCTATCTAAACTTGCTATGATAAATAAATTAAAATATTGTGTAAAGTAATTGATACAAATAAGAGTTTTGGTAAAGACCAAAAAAGCTTTTTAAAAGCGATTGAGATCACTAGAGTCTTGTTTGCTCCATAACAATAGTAGTAAGTGTAAGTCTATAAGCACAAGATCTTAGATTTCTAACCAAAACATTTTTAAATCTCCTAAAAGTCTTTATGGCTCATCACTGACCCCAATGGTTTTTTATGCCACTTTCATTACACATTTTCTATTGGATCCAACAAGAGTCTCAAAGCCACAAGAAAGCAATGACATGAATATTTACCAAATGATATGAGCCTTGAAGAAATTAACTTCCTTTACACGAAGCTTCTTCCACTCTTTTAGCTGCTTTCTCCATCTCCTTTCAGATTAACTAGTTTAGTGAGATTTCCTGAAAACGCAGAAAGGTAAGATTAGATCTCGTGTGATGTAAATATATAGCTTCCTCAATAAGAGAATCAACTGTTCAGTACCTGAGACCTTTTATGAACAGGTTGTTTCAACAGCTAGTCTTGATACCGAATGTACTAAATTGTTCTCCTGATCCTGAGAACATACAGCACGTGAAAGATTAGAAATTACTCATTTCTCGTAAGATGCTGTTAAGTCGAAGTGTAGAAATTATCTCTAACCGTTGTGGATAAGGATGGTTGTTGGTGTTTAGTAGTCTCTTCCAATAGATGAGACTCAACTTGCTCGCTGTTTTCGATTGCCCCTTGGCTCTGATTGTTTAATGGGGGAGATACAAGTTTTTGATCATGTAGCTTTGTTTGCTCTTCGAACCATTTCTCAAACATGGAGTATTCCTCGGGTTTCTCCCACTGTGTGTTCATCCATAAAATCAGTCTTACTTAGACATGGCTTCAGTGGAGTACACCATGAAAGGGGGGGAAGTATTACCGTGCTTTCGCAAGTGACACAGTGGAAGTAATACTTGTTCCCATCAGGACAAGTGTGTTCACTCCAGTCACACTCAGAGCTCATTGTATTTTGGTCTTCAGTGAATGCATTTGAATGACTAGAAATCTTCTGACCATTGTTTCTAGTCTACAAAAAAGTAGTAACAGATACGAGATCAAGCAGATGTATACAAGAGATATATGAAACCTTCCGTCTAAATAATCGTGGTCCGGAGTTTAAGATCCGTCTACCATTAGCAGATCCTACAAAAGTAGTACCTCCACGTTGGCAGTCTCAGATTTCTGATGCTTCTCAAAATTTTGAGGTGGAATATCTTGATGCAGTGGTTTATGAACCTCGGATACTACTTGAGCATTTTGCTGCGGGAAGTGATTAGGCTGTGCCGCGAAATCATGATGCTGAACGACTATAGGGGCTGCAGGTTCTTTGTTTCCCCATTGGGGATATGGTTGTGGGTGCCAATTTGGGTCGAATTGTTGCATTGGGGGTGGAGTGTTAAAGGTAGACCTGAAGACACGGAACAATCCAAATATAATGAGATGCAGTGACATATATACATATATATAGAAGGACTCAGTTTTATACTGAAAAGTTTTGAAAGTAAATCCTTAAAGAACTATAACTAAGTGGCAAAACCACAAGCGATGCGGTTATAGGCGTAAGAACCAAGAAGATCAGTTTGCAATTGAAAAGAAAATTAGGCAAATTCTCAAATAAATAATGTAGAAAAGGAATAGCGAACCCTAGACGGGGCTTTTTAGGATCTGCAAATCGAACAGTCAGAGGCTGATCAGAACCCTGAAACAAGACAGATATACAGGACGTCATGACCAGTGGATGCGAAATAAACATTGAGGCACTGAAATACACCCAAAGAACTATCTGAACTACCCGCATGGTAAAGACTCCATTTAAACCTTTGATTGCAGCTAGTGCCATCTCCCTACGAGAAAACTGAACAAATGCATACCCTGCAGAAAGCAAAGAAGTTAGTTATAAGCAGCTATAACCAGGTTTCATGCTATCCAGATGATCACACATTAAGACAGACTTGGAGAAAGAACAAAACTAACAAGATATTAAAGCGACTTGTATATAGCTCCATAGTCCATAAAAATCATGTTTCCAAAGTGTTTATCCAGGCAATGTTACTAAGGGCTATATGGAAGTTTTACACTCAGTTATTGAACATATGAAGTGTTCACAGTCTAGTAATCTACTGGAGAAGAAACTACAAAATCTGAACAATTTTCAAACTAGGATGTCTGAAGAATGCATGATTCAAAGTCGAGCACAAAAATATGCAATTGCAAGGCAACAGACATACCACGACTAATCTTCATGTCGTCGAGTGCCATATAAATATCTTCAATGACTCCGTACTTACCAAATACCTGAGAAGAGGACACTTTGAGAATTCATTCACATCAAATGAAGACACGGAGAATGTATCATAGTAAGAATATATCTATATTGCTCACGGTTCTGTCAACTGTTAGTGACAAAAGAATTCAGATTAACTGAAAATTAAAGCTAAAAATACTTCTTCCATACCTCATGGACTTCCGCTTTTGTTGTTAGTCTGTTGAGGCATCTAACGTATAGTTTTTCTGGAGTTTGCATTGTGGGAAAACCTAAAGTTCGGATGAAAAGAGAATACACTAATGAGAAAAAGAATTTGTACTCGAAAACAGAACGATAAGCAGTCGAAGGCATGAGAAATTAAATACTAACAAAGGTAAAACATGACTTTGTTTGTCCCATAATAAACCATGTTGTCTTCATATAGCTACGGTCTATCTAAATTTCTGTTCATAGAAGTATGGATACCAACTCTTACCGATCCGTTCCCGTTCTGCGTCGGCAAATCTGACCTTGACTGGAGCCATTTCCTGAAAACAATGAAATAAACTTACGGAAAGAAATCGAGAGGCGGTGTTTACAAAACATTGCAGCTAAGACCCACCCCAGGAAAGGTATACTGATCTGTTAAAGCTGCAATAGCCGCATTACCCTCTTCTAACTTTTTGTACTTAACAAAACAGTAAGCTGCAAAGATACATAAACAATGTTATAAGCAAGCTGCTAATCGGGAGACAATGAAATGCAGTAAGAGAATATGATCTTCAAGTGATTGTAACTCACCTGCTCGTTCACCAGTCATCTTATCTTTGGGTAGTATGATCTCAATGACACTACCATACTTGTCAAACACCTGACGGATCTGATATATGACACAGATTTGTCACTCAGAATCTACAGACAACATTCCATAAACCATATTACTAGTGTAAGCCAAGTAAACTCACCTCGTCTTCGCTTGTTGTCTTTGTTACCGGCGCAGCATATAACTTGGTAATCCCATCAGCACTAGGATCTTCATATATATAAACAGTAATGCAACACTCTCAAAACTCTATACAAACTCACAGTAATACCACAAAAAACAGTTGCAATCCATACTACCATAACCAGTAAGATCTTCATGTATACAAAACAATAATGCAACAATCTCAAAAACTACCACAAGAGACAATTCCATGGTGAAATCACCAAAGTTAAGACCTTTTTGGTCTGATATGAAGCAGAGAAGTCAAATAACCTGGGGAGAATCCAGTAGCGGATAGAGACCTTCTCTTCCTTGAGTTTACACCACCGGAAGGACTAAACCCATTACTAGTACTACTCGGTGGAAACGGCGGATTGTTGTTGTTATGATCGACGATCATATTCTGCGGTGCTTGTTGGACTTGTGGTGGGTAATGATGATTATCGAAATGCGGCGGCGGTTGATTGAAACGATGATCTCTGTTTTCGTTTTGTGGGTATTGGTGGAATCCAACGGCGGCGACATGGTGATGCGGCTGCGGTGGCGGATGAATCTGATGATGATGAGG